CGCCCCCGGGCGTGGCCTAGCAAGCCACGCCCCCGTGACGACGCTGCGAGGGCGGGCTCTGAGTCGGCGCCGCCCACCATTGGACCATCTAGACAGCCGCTTCACCAATCTCGTGCTCTGATTGGCTGAGCCGGAGAGGCCTCCCCCCCCATCTTTTTAAAATCCTGCTCTTTCACTCCACCATCGCCCCCCCCCCGCCACCTGCAATTAATTTGCATAATTTAAAGAGACAGGCACCGCTCCTGTCACCTGAGACCAAGAGGGAAGGGTCAACCAGCATTCATTGTGTGCCTACTGTGTCCCAGTCACTGAGGAAGACTCACTGGGTCTTCGCCCCCATCCTCCAGCCACGGGCTATGGGGGACGATATTGATCTCAGGAAGAGCGAAGCTCAGAGGGGTAAGACCCTACTTTGGGGTCACACAGCAGGCTTGCTGTCCCATGGACACAGACATGGTGTCGGTGCTGCAGACGGCTCTGCTGGGCTGGGGCTGTATCACTGAGCTCCACCAGACTCTACATGGCAGTTTTGAGGGATCCCCGTCCCAGGTGCTCATTAAATGATGCAGCCTGCCGGTCCACCTGGACAGCCGCCTTCCTCCTGCCTCCGCAGGACAGAGGGACCTTGTTACCCATGACAACTGCACACTTTGGCATTTTAGACCAGCTTCAGCTTTGAAATCACTGAGGATCTCTAGGAGAGAGGGCATACCAGGGTTTGAACTCGGGGCCTTGGGCTTGGTAAGCTCTACCACTAAGCTGGACCCCAGCCCTTTGTGCTGTGTTTTGCTTTTAAATAGAGTCCAACCATTGGCTCAGGCCAAGAAAAATCCTATTTAACTGGGATAACAGACCTGATTCACCACACCTGGCTTGCTGGTTGGGCTAGGGTCTCTTTAGCTTTTTACCCACGCCAACCTGAGATCTGTTCCTCCCAACTTCCTCTTTGCTAGTTGTGGAGAATTCCTCTGTGTGGCTCATTTGCCAAGGTTACTGAACCACCATTGAGACCTTACCACCAAGAGAAGCCTACGCTTTATTCACACCCCCCACCCCCATGTTTCTCCTCTGTCCTAGGGCCTCGCAGGAGGCAGCCTCCACCTCGGGCTTCTCCTTGCTGCAAGGACAGCACTGAGTCCTGTCGCTTCCAGGGCCCGGGTCCTGGTGGAGAAGATGCTGGGACGCCTCAGTTAAACCAAAGCTGCCCGGGGCCCAGGCCTCAGGAGGCTGCAGCAAGACCCAAGCCAGTCTCTGCTCACACACAGGCACTGCCTCAGAAACACAGATCAGGTGGCTCACACCTGTAATCCCCGTTACTCAGGAGGCTAAGCACTGAGGATCTCAGTTTGAAGCCGGCCTGGGCAGGAAAGCCCTTGAGAATGTTGAATCACCAAAAACTTGGAAGCTGAGCTGTGGCTCAAGTTGTGGAGAGCCAGCACCAAAGCTCAGGGACAGCGCCCAGGCCCTGAGTTCAAGCCCCAGGGCCAACACATGCACACACACAGAAAATATAAAGACATTACACTATTTCCACACACATCAAAACATAACCTGGCACACATGAATAAGTTTAAAAACAGGCTGAAAATCCCCAGTCACTGTCTGGCATTGGTAGTGGGGACCACAGGCCATTTGCAGACCTGCATGGAGGTATGGAGGCAGGGCTGGTGTGAGCCGAGTCCCAGGTGCTGCTCCTGACCTCAGATCTGCTCAGGGAGGGCTGCCCACCCGCCCTCACCAGAGTGGACGCAGGATTGCTGACTCCAGGGTGCCGTGTGTCTTATACTCATCCTGGTCCCGCTCCTCCCCTTGGCCAGCCTTGTCTGGGAACCGGGGGATAGGCAGGGAGCTATGGAGAAAGCAGAGCACGCAGACCCAAATAGTTTTCCAACAGAGCCAGGGCAATCCCAGCTCATGGCCTTGATCTGGGCAGGTCAAACCCCACTCCTGGCTTTTTTTTTTTTTTTTTTTTGTCAGTTGTGGGGCTTGAACTCTGGGCCTAGGCGCTGTCCCTCAGCTCTACCACTTGAGCCACAGCACCACTTCTGGTTTTCTGGTGGTTTACTGGAGATTAGAGTCTCATGGACTTTGCTGCCCAGGCTGGCTTTGAACCACGATCCTCAGATCTCAGCCTCCTGAGTAGCTGGGATGCCAGGTGTGAGTTACCGGCGCCCGGCCCACTCGTGGCTTCTTGAATGTAATTTTAACAGGGTCTGTGTAGTCCAGGGTGGCCTGGGAATCGGGAATCCCTCTGCCTCTGGCAGTGTCTGGAGTACAGCTCATTAGAGAGCAGCGCCAGGCTGTTCCAATCAGCTTTCCACTGTCTCTGCAGTGTGCAGTATTCTTTCTGTATTCTGTAGTGCTGTTCACTATGGAACTAGAGCATTTCTTTTTTCTTGCCGGTCCTGGGGTTTGAACTCTGGGCCTGGGCGCTGTCCCTCAGCTCTTCAGCTCAAGGCTAGCGCTCTACCACTGGAGCCACAGCACCACTCCCGGCTTTTTGCTTATGTGGTGCTGAGGAATCGAACCCAGGGCCTCAGGCATGCAAGACAAGCACTCTACCACTGAGCCACCTTCCCAGCCCCAATACCGTCTTCTAAGCCCAAGGTTTGCAGGACTAACGGTTATTTGATGGTGTCCTAGAGGTTTTGTGAATTCCGTTAGTGTTTTTCAGTGTCACTGTGAGGCTGCATCTCTGCTGTATCTGCAGCCTCCAATGCATTTTCAGTTGCTCCTTTTTTTTCTTTTGTTGGTCGTGAGGCTTGACCTCTGGGCCTGGGTACTGTCCCTGAGCTCTTCAGCTAAAGATTAAGCACTCTACCACTTGAGCCACACTGCAACTTCCAGTTTTCCTGGTGGTTTATTGGAGATGAGTTTCATGGACTTTCCTGCCCAGGCTACCTTTGAACTGCGATCCTCAGATCTCAGCCTCCTGAGTAGCTAGGATGACAGGCGTGAGCCACAGGTGCCTGGCTTTAGTTGCTCCTGTTCTATGATGTAGGCTTTCCAGAGGTTTGAATTTGGGCCACTGAGCTCTTCATTTCTGCAATTTCAATTCGATCTTCTTTCAGTAGTCCTATCTTTATTCCCATTTCCCATCCTGCACTGCCTTATTTCCTTTGCGTGTTTTGCATGTGTTTACCAGTTGAACTCAGGGCCTGTGCTGTCCCTGAGCTATCTTGCTGTGGCTCAGGCTGGCCTTGAAACTTCTATGCTTTTCTACCTCTTCTGTTTTTTCCCCCCCCATGTTTGGGCAATCTTATGAAGCTTCATCTTGTAACTCACCAGTTTTCCATCCAGCTTTCCCAAGTCCCTTGTTAAAACCTATCCCGTGTTTAAATCTCAGCCCTTAGCTTTCCTTTGGGTTGTTTTGAGACAAGATCATGGTAAATATCCCAGGATGGCCTCAAATGTGAGCTCTCCTGTCTCAGCTGGTCCCGGGGAACTGCAGAGGCTGCAGGTTTGCCCACCATACCCAGCCTGCCCCATCCTGCCTCCCTCTCACCTGAAGTGACTGGAAGTGACAAGGGTGCTGGGGACTGCTTGAAGGCTCTTGCAGTGGCCTGTGGCACAACGGGAAAGTGATATAACTGTGGGCGTGGCTATGAGGAAAGTGCAGGCCCTGGTGGTCCTGGGACTTGAACTCAGGGCCTGGATGCTGTCCAAGAATTTTTTTTTTGTCGGTCATGTGGCTTGAACTCTGGGCCTGGGCGCTGTCCCTGTAGCTCTCCAGCTCAAGGCGAGCACTCTACTGCTTGAGCCACAGCACCACTTCCCTGTCCAAGATTTTGACCACTTGAACCACAGCTCCACTTCCAGCTTTTAGTAGTTTCTTGGAGTCTCACACTTTCCTGTCTAGGCTGGCTTTGAACTCCAATCCTCAGAGCTCGACTGAGTAGCAAGGATTACAGGTATGAGTCCCTGGTGCCCAGCTTTTTCCTGCTTCCTTGGCCAAATGTCCTGTCTCACCCCAGGCCCAAAGCCACGAGGCCAGCTGAGCTCTCAACACAGGCCAGGTTCACCCATGAAAGCATCCACAGCCTAAGTATGTCCTCACATCAACAGAAAGTTGATCCACCACTGAAGGATGCATGGTTCATGCAGCTGCAGGCTAGAACCATACACTTGTGCAGATACAAAGTCCGGCTGTCACAGCCCAGCCATGGAGCCCGGCCGTCACAGCACAGAGGTGGCAGAGTCTGGCCACCATGGTGCAGACCCCAGGTGCCACATCTCACTGTCTAGACTGCTCTGGGCTTTCCCACCACATCCCTGCCCTGCGCTGGGACAGCAGATCTCCCCCTAGCACGGCAGATGTGCTCAGAGGACAGGGCGGGGAGACTGTCCCAGCTGCAGTTGGACCTGACACTGGCGACATTTCTTACTAGGCCTTCACCCTGGGAATCCCCAAGGAGGAATCTGCCCATGAAAGGCACAGAGAATTTATCAGTTTTTTTTCTTTCACCAATCAAAGGCTGGATGGCGAACTTTCCCAGAGCACGGGCAGTCTGGGCTCCATTCTAGCACTTGGGGGGCAGGGAATGACAGACCCCAAAGAAAAACAAGGACTTAAAGACCAACAGTGTAAAGCATTTACAGAAAATCTGTCTACAAACTAGGTTGGAAAAGCACTGAGTGCCTCTTGCTAAAGAAGATTCGGGGCCAGGCACTGGTGGCTCACACTTGTGACTGAAGCTGCTAAGGAAGTTGAGGTTCAAAGCCGGGCTGGGCAGAAAAGTCCTTTAGATTCTCATCTCCAACCACGCAGGCGCACAGGCCCTGACGGAGGACGCTCTGCCCGGGCCTCGGGCCGGGCCGCGTGCCAGCGGCGGTCACCCAGCCCGCACCTGCTCCACACCGCGCCGAGACCCACAGAGGACGCGGGACACAGGGCGGGCCTGTTTATTTTGCGGCTCTGGGGCGGCCGCTAGAACTCCACCTTGCAGGCGGGGAAGGCCTCGTCCTGCATAGACACCATGCTGTTGCTGCCCAGCACCGTGACGCCCAGAGCCTGGTGCCGGACGTGCGTCTCCTCGTACCACCGGTGCATGGTGGCGGAGTCGAAGGTGGGGATCAGGGTCACCTGTGGAGACAGCGGGTTGCGGTGGGCAGCGGCCCGGGCAGGGCCTGCAGGGCGGGCAGGGCTGGGGCTTCCCGGTCCTCCGCCCGGGGGCCG